ATTTAGACACACTACCATACTCTGTAACACTTACCTACAGTATGACAATGATTTAGACACACTACCATACTCTGTAACACTTACCTACAGTATGACAATGATTTAGACACACTACCATACTCTGTAACACTTACCTACAGTATGACAATGATTTAGACACACTACCATACTCTGTAACACTTACCTACAGTATGACAATGATTTAGACACACTACCATACTCTGTAACACTTACCTACAGTATGACAATGATTTAGACACACTACCATACTCTGTAACACTTACCTACAGTATGACAATGATTTAGACACACTACCATACTCTGTAACACTTACCTACAGTATGACAATGATTTAGACACACTACCATACTCTGTAACACTTACCTACAGTATGACAATGATTTAGACACACTACCATACTCTGTAACACTTACCTACAGTATGACAATGATTTAGACACACTACCATACTCTGTAACACTTACCTACAGTATGACAATGATTTAGACACACTACCATACTCTGTAACACTTACCTACAGTATGACAATGATTTAGACACACTACCATACTCTGTAACACTTACCTACAGTATGACAATGATTTAGACACACTACCATACTCTGTAACACTTACCTACAGTATGACAATGATTTAGACACACTACCATACTCTGTAACACTTACCTACAGTATGACAATGATTTAGACACACTACCATACTCTGTAACACTTACCTACAGTATGACAATGATTTAGACACACTACCATACTCTGTAACACTTACCTACAGTATGACAATGATTTAGACACACTACCATACTCTGTAACACTTACCTACAGTATGACAATGATTTAGACACACTACCATACTCTGTAACACTTACCTACAGTATGACAATGATTTAGACACACTACCATACTCTGTAACACTTACCTACAGTATGACAATGATTTAGACACACTACCATACTCTGTAACACTTACCTACAGTATGACAATGATTTAGACACACTACCATACTCTGTAACACTTACCTACAGTATGACAATGATTTAGACACACTACCATACTCTGTAACACTTACCTACAGTATGACAATGATTTAGACACACTACCATACTCTGTAACACTTACCTACAGTATGACAATGATTTAGACACACTACCATACTCTGTAACACTTACCTACAGTATGACAATGATTTAGACACACTACCATACTCTGTAACACTTACCTACAGTATGACAATGATTTAGACACACTACCATACTCTGTAACACTTACCTACAGTATGACAATGATTTAGACACACTACCATACTCTGTAACACTTACCTACAGTATGACAATGATTTAGACACACTACCATACTCTGTAACACTTACCTACAGTATGACAATGATTTAGACACACTACCATACTCTGTAACACTTACCTACAGTATGACAATGATTTAGACACACTACCATACTCTGTAACACTTACCTACAGTATGACAATGATTTAGACACACTACCATACTCTGTAACACTTACCTACAGTATGACAATGATTTAGACACACTACCATACTCTGTAACACTTACCTACAGTATGACAATGATTTAGACACACTACCATACTCTGTAACACTTACCTACAGTATGACAATGATTTAGACACACTACCATACTCTGTAACACTTACCTACAGTATGACAATGATTTAGACACACTACCATACTCTGTAACACTTACCTACAGTATGACAATGATTTAGACACACTACCATACTCTGTAACACTTACCTACAGTATGACAATGATTTAGACACACTACCATACTCTGTAACACTTACCTACAGTATGACAATGATTTAGACACACTACCATACTCTGTAACACTTACCTACAGTATGACAATGATTTAGACACCCTACCATACTCTGTAACACTTACCTACAGTATGACAATGATTTAGACACCCTACCATACTCTGTAACACTTACCTACAGTATAACAATGATCTAGACACTACCATACTCTGTAACACTTACCTACAGTATGACAATGATTTAGACACACTACTATACTCTGTAACACTTACCCACAGTATGACAATGATTTATACATACTGCTATACTCTGTAACACTTACCTACAGTATGCCAATGATTTATACATACTACTATACTCTGTTACACTTGCCTACTGTATGACAATGATTTAGACACCCTACCATATTCTGTAACACTTACCTACAGAATGACAATGATTTAGACACACTTCTATACTCTGTAACATTTACCTTATAGTCCGACACGGATGATCAATTAACTACCATAATTAGGGTACAATCAGTATAAGATAGTCACTTCACTACCAAAGTCTATAATATTTATTACGTTCATTCACTACCACAGGGCATAATATAAATAGCAGTAATTTACATTCAAATATTGTGTATCAGGGGTAGGTCATCGTTAATATGAAGCTTTGTCTTATGTATTTATATTGTAGCCCCTACACGATGTATAATGTGCAGTTATTGTAAATATTTACCGCTTGAACATTGACACTGTTTTAGGCAACCCACCACGCACTAAGCACCGAAAATATATGTGTGTAGTTTAAAATCGATGAACATTTTACCAAAATCTTGTATTATGATAACAGATTTAAAGTTCTGATAACGATGATTAGTTTCATCTCCTCCTGGTTAACCTGGTGATGGTAATCGGTACATCAACTCTAAACGTAAAATAAACAAACTTTTAATTGGGACAAAGATATAATCTTAAAAAATCAGGAAACGCATCGATTGTTGGAGCACTTACTTTTAATACCGACACATCTGGATCTGGTGAACAAACAGTTCTGTTTTAATTTGAAAGACTTTTAATCAAACAACATACTATCTATCACCAGTGAAAGAGGATATTCGTCCTGTCTGAGAGAAGATAAATGTCTGCGTTCATTTAGTGCTAGCTTCAATCCTCTTACGACGGACTGTTTCTGTCTGCCTTTTCATATTCGGAAAGATTCATTTTGCTTCATGACAGTTTTTGTGTCATCTGATCACATCGCTTAGCTGTAGACAATCTGACCCTAATCCGATATTTTTTTTCATTTCATTCTTTCTTTAATTCCCAACTGTAAATAAATTGTGTATTTCTTTATTTCAAAAGGAGCAAGCACTTATACCCTAAACAATTGAGACGTCACTGCGAGGCTGTTGAGGCTGATAAGAGTTTTACAGACCAGTGTCTGGTGATTTATCGCCCATTGATTGGCTTACAAAATACATTAATCACTTCCGCAAAGACACCAATTAATTGATACGTAAACGGCCCTCGGGAAAGGGGAAATCCACTTTTAGTTCTACGGGGTGGTTAGGGTCACGACCTATGTACTTTATACTTTCTGTTACCGGGGCAACTACCGGTCGAGAGAGAAGGCGCCAATACGAATGGGGTGAGAACGAGGTGTTAAGTGGAAATAGATGCCACTCGGACAGGTGGAGTGACTGGCGGTATTCCAAAAGGCGTATTTGTTGATATTTAGAAATGACAAGCACATGGGGATAACTAAATGTCAGCAGAAATAGTGCTGGTATTCTACTTAACGTCTATATGGCATATTTTCACTTGGCATAAGTTAAACACTTAATATCAATAAACGTATAGAGTTCTTTACAAACTAACCGAAGCCCAGGCGTGTATCTAGCCGTCACACGTACGATTTAAGGATACCTGCCTCGCTAAAAGGGATGATATACAAGTTACATAATATATTAAAAGAAATGGAACTTCTCAAAATGACATTTCTGGGATAGGTTTGTTTCCAGGCAGCCTTTCAACATACTTTTATATACGATACACATTTCATCGCAAAGAAAAAGTTCATTCTCTATAAAGAGCTACGTCTAAGTTTCTTTAATTTTGCAATAATGAGTCAGAAATGAGCGCTTACAATTCTCTCTTCCAATAACTCCTCTGAGTTGTGCCCTTCTATCGTCGCTAGTTACTAACGTAAGCGACCGACGTCGTGCAAGGGCATGTCAGTCACACTTTGACAACTTAAAAACTTGGTCTCCTTAAGACTCCCTACAAGGACCCAAGATATAGAAGCTCAGCAAAGTCAAGGTGATTTCACACTTCACTAGCCAAAGAAGCGAAATCCAGACTTAACTCATTATAAAGAGTAGACATTTTTCTAAAAAATGCTGCATAGGAAATATGCATTGGAAATGAAGTTTTCTGTAAACAGAGTTATCCCAGATATGCCATTTTAATGTTCCATACATTTCAGAATAGTATCTCTCTTTTTTCGAGATAGATACCTTTGCACAGTGTAAGTAAAGACAATAAAAACGAGAGTTAAACGAGAGTTTAATGATGAATCGTCACAGATATTTCCAGTGAAATAATGTGTTGGGAAACATAGAGTCAAGACACAGGGACACAATGATAACTCAACGTTGACACAAAATCACGACTACCTGAACTGAGGAGTTTCCCACACTGAAAGGAGAGATGTCGGGAACCTGATATGGAATACTCGGAGTAGTTCGTTCACCGCAGGGTAACTAACAATATTCGGAAGGAGATCATCCAATTGAACCATAAATAAGACGCAATGGTTGCAAAACATACAGCGCAGAACAATGAAATAGAAAGCGTGGACCTACACATTTTTGGATATCTGACGTTTGTTATCTCATTCAACCCTTAAGAAACATTTGAACTCTTCCAATTCTAAGGTTGTAATAGTTCATTTAGAAATTTTAGGGGTAAAGGAGTTAATGCGACATGTCTGATGTTAACTTGGGGACAGCTTAAATTCAATTGATATTCATGATTCAATTTTAAGTCTTTATCTTTTAGGGTCTCTCTGTGTAGTGTGTTTGTGTTTGTTTTTGGAAATTTTATTGTAACTTTTAGTGCTTTTTCGTTTGGTTGGTTTATTCATTATTTACGTATTTATTTATTCACAATAAAACACATAACGTTAGATATGTCCTCACCTGATACTAGTCCCTTGGATGTGGCTTTAACCCAAAGGATGGACAGCATGACAGGAGGGAAACACGGGATAGTTAAAATGGCGCCTGAGTAGAATATCCAGTTGAGGTCAATACCGGTTTCGAATATGACAAGTCCAAGAGGTATAATGGAAATAGTCACCCATATAATACACCAGTTCTTGAACTCTATCAAGTAGTCCTGGTATTCACGGTACCGGCCATGGATTTGGCACTGATACGGTGGTTGTATCCCCGACGTTGACTTCCGGTTCACCCTGCGCATGTCCTCGACACAGTGGTGACATCGACTAACGCTGCGGCATTGGCAGAGCGAGTCCCGCTCCGAGTCGTTAGCATACGTAGCCGTTATCGTATGCTTCTTTGTCCGGCCACACAGGACACAGTGCGTTCTCTTCAATCCCTTACTGAAACGCAAGTGACCAATTTAAGGACTTTCCACTGTTTATTTACCATCCATATATTTTAATTTCCTTAATATCAAATGTGTTTTGAAAAATCACCAATAAGGAACTTAAATTATAGTTTAATTGAAAAGCGACTTTTAATAAATGTCATATTGGAAAATAAATATTCGATTAAAAAGTATGACCCTGTGGGAATGTTTCTGGGTTTTTTCCTGCTCAATAACATAAGACATGCGAATTGATGTTGATACCGGAATGGCCGGACGTAGGTCTGGTAGATGTCGTAAACGACGATGGATGAGATGGCCATCACCTCTCCGGACCCCGTGGACATCAGAGCCATGGCGCCCATCGTTAGGATTAAGATACCACCAGCAGACCCAAGGATCTTCTCGGCGATCAGCGGCGTTACCAAACCTGGAATGTTTCAAAACTTAATTCAATTTGTAGATACTGTTAGTAGGACATCAACATTTCTAAAAGATGGTGTTTGTTCATGGACAGTCTTTCCATTATTGCAAAGGTATTTACGACTAACATTGACTATTGTAATCTTTGTTGAGCAAGTGTGACCATTATTGGCAGGCTTGCCGTTGTTAGAAGGGAGCGGGCAACATACCTTGATCAATCTGACCGTTGTTGAGAAGGTGTGTGCCGTTTTCAGCACTGAGGGCTATATATGCCATGCCTGTTGTGGTTGCCATGGTTGAAGGGATGGAGAACCACATAAAGCCGGCCAAAATGAACCCCCACACGCCCTGGACAGGTTTTGCAGCAATTCTGCTTTGCCAAGACGCTTGATCGCAGTATGTTACAGCAGACGATACAAACACTTCAATGACGCCGTACAGTAGCGCTACTCCAGACCGGAAGGTGAGGAAACTATACTCGGCATTCTCTTTCGGTCCTTTTACACAGGAAATAACTTTATACATTTGTGTTACGTCACCAATATTTTCATATTCACTTTCACTGTGAAGAATTTTTACAACAAACACTATTAAAAGGGTGAACACAAGGCATGCGTTAAAATAGGACACATAGAATGTTGTTCCTATTCCTCCGATTAGAGAGTAAGATCCAAATAGGGTTGCCATGACAAGCAGACAAAATTCGTCTGAAGCATTCTTGGTCAGTGATTGGATAGTAGCCCTTCCCGCCAATAAAAGACCTATCATGATGACCAGGTTTGTAAGGAGGGCAAAGCAACAGAAAACGATGTGGGCAGTTTTTCCAAATCTGGCATGGATGATCTGTAAAATGAATAAATATACGATTAGTAACATCGCGGTATCTTCACGGTGATTAGTAACATCGCGGTATCTTCATGGTGATTAGTAACATCGCGGTATCTTCACCATGATTAGTAACATCGCGGTATCTTCACGGTGATAAGTAACATCGCGGTATCTTGACGGCGATTAGTAACATCGCGTTTTTTTCACGGTGATTAGTCACATCGCGATATCTTTACGGTGATTAGTCACATCGCGGTATCTTTTCGGTGATTAGTAACATCGCGGTCTTTTCACGGTGATAAGTCACATCGCGGTATCTTCACGGTGATTAGTCACATCGCCGTATATTCACGGTGATTAGTCACATCGCGGTATCTTTACGGTGATTAGTAACATCGCGGTATCTTCACGATGAGTAGAAACATCGCGGTAGCTTTACGGTGATTCCTTATCGTTTAAACGCTGTAATACCAGTGTTTTAATAACGTCCCAAACGCATTTTGTTCTGCAATAAATGCTTCTGCTTTTTAGTTATAAAAAGGCTATAATAACCAACAATAGTTACAAGTAAATATTTTGACACTGGTTAAAATTTGGCGCTCTTTTCCAAAAAGTGACTGTCACCAATCTATTCATTCGAAAAGAAATTACCGTTTCAGGATTTACGTGTCACAGAAACAGTACAGGGAGTGTAAGTTTTAATAGAATGATACTGAACACTCGGACTAACTATCAGGAATATTAGAAAGATACATAATATAAATAACACTTTGGGTACCATAATGTTTGTTGCTTAACCAACAATAATGTTGTTGTTTTTATATTTACGTCCTATTCATCTAAGTACATTTCAAGTAATCTTTGAATTGCTGGCACTCAATTGCTTCTTAAACGATAAAGGATGTGCATGTATTATCAGAAATATGTCTAAAGAACGTGTTTTCGTTGTATTTTCCGCAGAGCTATGACATGAACTGTAATCAATAAATAACTATTGTATTGTAATGGAAAAGATTTCGGAAATAAAACAGGAAATAAAGTTCTATCGCAATATTGAGCGGAAGTTATCAGCACAAGTAGCTCTGGTACAGGTGGGTTACAGGTGATATACAGGTGAGTAACACGTGCTCGGCATGACACAGATATTGACTTCTTAGATTGGTGTTAAACCTCTGTTTGATGTTATTTATCACAACCGTTTAGTTTTTAATCAATCAGAAGGAACTTCTTTCAAAATGGCTTTTCCAGCCAAACTCGACTGACATGCAATGCACGCGTAAACAATGGTCTGCTAAATAGCGCGATACAAGACAGTCGATTAGGAATCAATGTTCGAGTTTGAGTCAGCAGCACTTTATATTAATAAAATGCATTGATGTTTTTTTTTAAATTGTAAATTGATAAGGCAGAAGACACAACAAAACGTTCAACAACACGGAAGTAAAGCACGTTTGTAACAAAATATCACTGCACCAAACACAGTTCGAGGCCTGTATTGCATATTTCATTTTGGGTTCAAATAACACGTTTAATTTTTCTATGAGAGCAAACATCAAAGGAAACAGATGTAAAAGAAGTTCGAAATCATAAAAAATATCATCGCTAATACGCTGTGCACTTCAACCGACTCAACAAACTCACCTACTGTGGACACTTCATTCGGCGTAAAACCAATTCGACAAAACTGTGTGCTTCAATAATTGTAAACAATGTCAACAGCATCATTGACTCCTTTTGCGGAAAGCAACTCAGCTTCAAGGTTTACTTCAACTGATGTACCAGTTAAACTACACTGTGTAATTCATTTGGCAGAAACTGACTCAATCGTGAAAAACGAAAACTCAATAACTTGGAATAATGATATGATAATAATATTATGTTTACATTTTATACCATACTAGGTAAACAAATCGCCAATTTGTTTTTAACTTCTTCAGAAAACATTAGGAACGAAACCAGTTATATTTTGAAAACAAATAGTAAGAAAATTATTATGAGTTCTTGTTACCTTACCTAGGGTGGGGTTGTCTTACCTGTAGGTAGGTCTTGGCCCCCGGGGCTCGGGTTTTAAACTGTACTGAGAAGATGGGGAAGATGAAGATGTTGATCATGATTCCAACAGCATACCAGAATGGTCCGGCGATTCCGTTCTGTAATAAAGACATTCCGGTTAAAGGTCGAAACAAGTAGAATAACGGTTTGTTAATTTGAAGATGAAAAAACCCCGAGAATTTATTTCTTTATTCTCGTATTTTCGGGAATGAAAAACGGAATGGCACGAATCAACCACTATACAATAATTAACACTGAGTACAATATACACAAGGTACACAGTCACGATAATGAAAAAAAATCTAAAGCGGAAATATAATGTCACTGGGAAGCCAAAGAGTAACCGGTAAGATGAAAAAAAAGATGCAGTTGAAAGTTTGTACTTCGAATGATATACAGAATCAAATAACGATAAAATACTTATGTAAACTTATGCAGCAGACAGATAGCTTCTGAAATGTTGATACATTCATGTCAAACTATGTTCAGTAAACAGTGCGACAGGAAGCCACGAGGGATGCTGTGGTCTACTAATCGGTTAGAATACGTCATCATGAACATACACCTTGCTGCAACAGTACGCCAGTTGTCCTTGACCTTGTTGTTAGATAGGGTGTAACTGAAGTTTGGTTGTACCATAAACTTGTAAGTAAACGTAAACATTCGGCGCACGACATGGGTGGGCTCTTCGCGGGCCCCTGTCTGCTCTGGAGTAGTCGTATCGAACACTTCCCGTTTAAAATAAAAACTTCAAATGCATATTTACGGAACTGATTAGAAAGTTAAACAAATAACATTATGCTGCCTTTGTATGTGTATCCGAGTTATTTATCTGATTCAATTTGCAGTGCAGTCTTCGGGACGATGATGTTTATCGACTGTTTTAGGCTTCATACTGCTTCCAACGATATGAGCCTAGCGTTCCGCTAGGAGATTTGTCTTTTGTAAAAACAAAAACGGTGAATATATTTATCAAATAAAATCGACACAAAACATGAGACTTTCAACATAAAAGGATCGTTCCGGATTTTATATCATCATATCGCTACACTATTACACATTAAACACAGAACGACGTGTTTGAACTGAAGCGACCGCCACTTTTCTGTTCGGGCTCTGATAATGTCTGAGTAGATCATTACATGTGACCTAGCAACACTTTCAGCTCAAAAAAGTCAAACATCATGCTGATACAAAAACACCGCCAACATTAAAAGCTTCTTCCTCGAAAGTTAATTTACCTGATGTGAACTTAGTATCGCGTTGGGTTTTAGTTTGACACTGTTTATGTGTGATAACGAATCTACACTAATATATCAGAAACAAAATGGGGCAGGGGAAGCTATGGGTTTTAAAGCTGTCAAATGATCTTTGTAAAATACTTTTTTTTTTTTGCGAAACTACCATTTCGAACGTTTGAGGATAATTATCATTTGATTTGGTGAGTATCTTATTAACAGCTATGGTCATTTAAGGACGAGCCATGTTCTTGTGGTGGAGGAAAGCCGGAGTTCCTGGAGAAAACTACCGACATGCGGCCGGTACCTGGCGACTGCCCACGAAGGTCTTGACCCAGTGGCGGAGGTGTTAGTGATCATAGACGGTCAGGCCTTGACCACCGCGACCAAGTGCTTCGATATCTAGTAAACAATATCAATATGACATATGTTTAAAATTGATGTCAGGGAAGAGTCATTTGTTAAAAAAAACCTAAAATTATCTAGTATTCTAGTTATATACTGATATGTTATCGGTTCTGCTTATTAGCGAACGTTTTTTGACTTTGTTGAAATGTATTTATTGATCGGAATACCGAACGTAAAGTTTTGTTCAATATCAATCAAATATTGTATGTATAAACTCCATTGTTTGTGAATGAAATCGAAATAAGAATTTAAACACCTCCAGTTGTAAAGTTTGCATTTATTTTACAATTGCGTTCGTTCATATTCTGGAATGTTATACTGAGTTAATGGCCGAAAGTAATGGACAGCAGCAGTAAACATGGCGGAGAAATTTTAACCGAAAACATTCTTTATCCGAATCACAATATTTTTGCAGTCAACGCAATGGTCGCCACAACCTGGCAAGGCCGTATACTTACAATGGGTCACATAAACAAAATTATTCCCCTCACTCTGGCTGTATGAGGTAGGAGTTAAGTTCGTAATTAACCAACTATTGACCAACTATTGACAGAAACGAGAGATAAGGATATATTAGTACCTACAGTGTTATATGACGCTGATTTATTCTTACGTTACCAGCCACACTTATTGAACATATCAACAGTAAGGAGGTATGATTTAATTTTATTGAGATGGCTGCCTGCGAAACGAGAACGTAGAGGAGTCCTGCTACACCCAGGACACGCTACCAGATTAACTGTAAGTACGATTGATGCCAGCCTCTCTAATTGACACGGGTTGTCCTCTTAAGTGAATATTTATTCCGGGCAGAGGTTTTCAATGATAATATTTCCTAATCAAATTGTGAGGCCCAATCCTTTACAACAAGCACCACGTCTCTTGTTGTCGTTTGATAAGCATATTAGTTATAGAATCAATTAGTTCCATACGTCTTGGCATTCTTCAGCATGATAAACTTACAAAATCATCAAATTCGAACAAGCTAAAGGGGAGCGAGGAAATAGGAGTAATGAGGGTATTAAGCTGCCAGGGGGCGCTGATTGCATTGCGATGGAGATGGAGGGTAGGTAACGGTAAAATGATTCAGCAGCTGACGACCAAGTGTAAATTTGATTGTTTATTGGGAGGCGGAGGAGAGGCGGCTGATAGGACACGCGGCATTAGTAAGGCTGATTGTCTGTACAGCGCGTACTGTTGATCAGAGAGCGGAACGACGCTCTCTGGAGAGCGCATACCTATTACTATGTCCCTCATGACCGGAAATAAGGGACAGCGCTCCTGTCACAAGAAATGTAGTTGTTTTTCTCAAGCAATATCATGATGTTAGATTTGGCTACAAAAATGACAGACTGCTGATATGACATCTATAAAGTACTATGGACATTGGTCATTTTTCATCTCTGGGAATATGAAGTTTTAAAGAAGGTTTTTAGTAATCATAAAAAACATAATTGAAATCCATTTCAAAAGATAAGTGCAGGTATAATAAAACACGTGTTTTTGCGCTTAGCGTCACTCCTCTAATTATATGTTCCCAACTAACACTGATTCTATCAACCTTCACTTGTCCGGCTTTTTGTGCAGTTCTACGGTTCTCAAGTTAATGGTGTATTGACTGACCACTTCGAGGCTATCGCTTTAAAGTTATTTCAATTGTAGCACATCCCTGTAGCGTTGCATTTAAATTGCATAATCATGGTACAACTTACAAACAATTTATATTGGATAATGTACAGTATAAAAACTCAACGATATTGCCATTTTTTCATATTCTACGTATGTATAGAATTCCAGAAAATATGTTGAGTTAGATAGTAATGTTTCAAATACTGAAATTCTTCTTTACATTACGGAACGTACCAACTAGAAAAAAAACGCATCAATCATTTTTATTTCAGAATTTGGTTTTATGGTTTTATCAAGGGGAAAAAAGGAAAAGAATGAGCGGGCGCACACGATTGTATATAGAGAATAATACATGCCTTTTTCCATATCACACCCAGTATCAACCCGAGACTACAATATCAGCCCAAGGGCCGAAGGCCCGAGGGCTGATATTGGTCGAGGATTGATACTTGGTGTGATATGGAAAAAGGCGTGTTTTATTCTGTTTATTACATATTTACTAATAAAAACAACTATCTTATGATTTAATTTTCTTTTTGAAATATTGAAAAAACGAAAAAATCCAAAAGTGGTGTGATATGGGTTTTGCGGGCTGATACGGGTTTTGGGGTGTGATACGGCGCGGGCTGATACAGGTTTTGGGGTGTGATACGGTGGGGGCTGATATGGGTTAGAGCAATTGTGTCGTATCGCATATACAAAAACCCCGTATTTATCAGTAAGTATGTAATAAACTTGGTTATTAATCGCTTTGAGTGACATATATAACACAAGACGACGGGAGGTTGTGACCAGAAATTGTTTACTATGACAAAGCTAAAAGTACGGTTTTAAACGTCGAATGATGTGACGTTTCTACTCGGAAACCCCCATACAGACGTCCACTCGGAAGACCTCGAGCATAGGGAGGCGGACCTAGGGAGGCAAATCGGATTACATTTGTAACGTTGGTATGCTAGTGATTAAAGCGACGGCTTGTGTCAGCTTGTACTTACCAAGGTTTGAACACCACGTTTGAGTTTTAAATCAGGATCGTTAAAGAGGCTTTACATCAGCCTTAGAGAACAAGTGTAAGATCTTAGCACCGGAGACACAAGCAAGTACCCGGTGAACCATGAGATTGCCAGCATGCTGGCTAGCATTATCGACTAGTGCCAGTCTATGTAACTACATATAGCGCTGTATTTAGCCTCCCTATCGGAAACATAGTCCTACTTTTCTCATTCGACCTTATCTAAAGTATTCAAGAAGGTGCAAAGAAAAACTTCAGATAAAGTAATAGGCTAATTTTCTGGATTAAAAAAGTAGCATGTATAGTGAATCCGTCATTTTCTCGATAGCGCGATGCCTGTGGTGCATCTCTAACATTCCTACGGTAGGTTGTTATTTCATACGCCGTAATCATAATCAGGAAACCTTAGAAAGACGGCAAGTGGTTTTCCGAAACGTTATGGTGTTGTACAAAAAACGTGTATATAATACCATACGATGGTAGACGCCCAGGTGTGGGAGAGTTCACAATGACCTTGTGATGTCATGTCAGCACATCGGACATATATGTGATGGTGTTTAGTTACCTTGAATGATAGCAATATAACGATATAAATGCAAATTTCCTAAATGCTAATATAAGGTTTTGTTTAGTGACCTCATCCCAAGTTGCCGAATCGCATTTCTTTTTGTAATTGGCTTGATAAAGTTGCTCTATGGACGATGACACAAAATATAATGCCGAAATATGTACCTCTCGGACAATGACCTACAGTACCCGCAGCTAAAACCGGGTAGGTCCGTCTCCGATTGCTGTAATAGCATAGCCTTAATTGTATTCTGGGTCTGTTGTGTGTTTATTTCACTTCTTAAAATACATCACACACAGCACATGAATTTAAATGTTCTTATTAATGTCAAGTATATTACCATGACAACGAGGATGGCGAGAGAAGGTGACATTGGCATAAACTAGTTTAATTCTCGAATTATGAACCCGGTACATCCCCGTTCGAGATCTAAGGACCTTAGTATTAACAAAATAAATGAAAACTCCCAACCTGTGAACGTACACCATTTTAATAGGACGTCAACATTTTCAGTTTTACCTGCATTTATCGTACAAGGGGAAAGTAGAAAGACTGATTATATCATCTAATCATAGCCATAGATGATGTAAGAAAGAAAGATGATGTATCTAATACAATGGGTTATCAGCATTTATTGTCAGTTTTCTTGATTCGCGCTTGCTTTATCCCGTCGAAAGCTGATTGTGACGTCAAATGTTTTATTCTGCCTTTGTGTTGCATTACGGCGGGGTATTAGTTTCTTGTCAATGCAGACACACGCCAAGCAGCGGTTGTCTTCCCCTACGACATGGCAAGTTTATTTAAGGTGCAACAGAAACACACACCCTGCAGAACTAAATCTGTTCGTTTATGTGGAATAACCAGTTTGTCCGTTATGTATGTCTTGCAAGACTTTGACGGATGAAATTTTCAAATAAATGGTTCCTTCCTTTGTATATCAAATGATTATTTACACACGTAGACGAGCTTTGTCTGTTGGTCTTGCCTATCTACGCTGTAACATACATTACTTAAATGAATGTTACATTAATAGATGGCCAAATTTTCTATATTTAACTGTTATATATGATATAGACACAGCTGATACAATGCTAATGGTCTCCGTTAGTCTATTACAAGCTAAATATACATTATCATCGTTAACCTGGGACCAGCCATTGTTTTCGAACTAATTTTTTATTTTGCTTTTATTTTCTAATTGCCGTACTTGTAAAGACAATGTTTCCAATTATATTAAAAGAGTCATGACGTACTTTCTCTATAGCTTAGATTCCATGAATAAGACAAAAGATATATACACTGGTTTAAGAAGGATTAATCGAAATACGAACAGGTGATTAAAATCGTTATATGGTAAGAACGGATTTGTAATGCTTAGAGAATCACACCGCTAGCAGTCGTTTCAATACATGCGTATCGATTACATGTTCAAAATAAGCTAGACCATTAATACGTTTCATTTAGTCTACCTTAAAATATTCATTTATAAGGAAATTGCTAATTACAGAAAGATCAGTTTATCAATATATTAAGAATGTTTAATTTTACTTCACGTGGCAACGTTAACGTTTCGGGATCGTTCAGAGAACCAGTAACACTTCAGTTCCTATTGTTACGACTGTAATCCAGACACTCTCGAGCTTACGATCGGTTCTTCAATTAACAAACTAATCAAACACGTAAACTACAGCCCCCCATCCTAACTGATCGTTTCGACAGTAGCAACATTGACTGAAAACTTAACGCGGGCCGTATCAGAACAAAAGAGCCACTTTCAACTTACTAAACTTGGACGCCAACTTCTCGCATAAAATCCTGAATAGTTATACCATCAACTATATAACCATTCCCCACGAAGGACACAAACAAACACAGAAGTCTGATAGAATCTATCATTGTTTTTTGATGTAGACAGAGAAATTGCAACCCGGGTTGTTGTTTTTACCTTTTGTTTTGAGTTCTAGAATTTACCCTTCGGTTACCGTATAATAATAATAAAAGAACGTATGGTGAATTTCTTGATGATTTGATCAATTTAAGGAATTGGGGAAATCGTTTTCAACCAAAAAAAAAACAGGAGGCCCAGAGGGCATGTATCGCAAATTTGGTAACTAGAACACAAGACATTTTAACATCTCTTAAACGCTTCTTAAGATATTGTTATTTGAAATTTGAAATTGTAATTTTAAAGCTTTTAACCCAAGTTGACATTTGACTCCGGCTAGCACTTAAAGTTGACATTTGACCTCATTACTGTAATTAAGAAAAAGATTCGCACTGCTGGTCTACATAACTTATCCAAGTATCATGACTCTAGACCAACTGCTTCTTAGGATATCATTGTTTGAAGTTTTTATTTACATTTTTGACTCCCGAGACCTTGAAAGTAGGTCAATGTCATTTTAAAGATGAAACTTTATAGCACTCATTCCCTAGTACCTACTAGCCAAATATCATGACTCTGGGTCTTATGGAACTTGAGAAGAAGATTGTTAAAGCTTTTAATACATGTTGTCATTTGACCCCTGACTAGCACTTAAAGTTGACCTTTGACCTCATTACTGTAACTAAGAAAAAAATTGCACTGCTGGTCTTCATAACATTATCAAGTATCATGACTCTAGTCCAAATAGTTCTTAGGATATTGTTGTTTGAATTTTTGAACATATTTTACCCCTGTGACCTTGAAGTAGGTCAAGGTAATTTTAATTAGGAAACTTTATAGCACTCCATCCCATGTACCTACTGGCCAAATATCATGACCCTAGGTCCTCCAGTTATTCAGGAGAAGTCGTTTAAAAGAAACGACGGACGCCGCAGTACGGCATAAGCTCACATGGCCTTCCGGGCCAGGTAAGCTAAAAATGTCGAGTAAAAGAAGAAGAAACCCCCAAAACAGCCGATAATCACAATGACTACGTCACAATGTAGGTCAGATCGAGACTGTGTGGGAAGACAATATGTCAGTTGTCATCCAGTCATTCCACCCATGATTGTAACTTCGAGTTCCGGTATTAAAAGGTCGTGTGCATCACTTAGCTGACACGCGTACTCAGATCAGGAATATCTGTCAGAAGACATTTAGCTTTCGTCTATAACAGGACTGACCTCAAATTACAGGACCTACTTGACATGGCTGGCTTTTGGATAACAGACTTTCATGTAATATAAAGATAATATGTGTAGGTTATAGATTAAATCTGATAATAAAGTTATGATTTATGTCGTCTCTCCAATTGTTGTTTCTAACACTATAAGTACAGACCGTATTATTAGAGAACAAGTCAGACAACTTGTAAGGGGTGCGTTAAGATCTGACCGTTGTGAAAGAGAACGGACCTTGGTCAGTTTTCGTTGTAAGGGAACGATTCCTAACCAGTTTTTGTTGTTTAAGGAACTGGTCCTGACTAGTTTTCTATTTGATGAAATTTTCTTGTCATTGGACGATACTTGGCAGGCTCCGTTGCTAAGGGACGGAACTAGCAAGATTCTTGTTGCCATGGAACTGTTGTAAGTCATACTATGTTGTGATGAGATAGTAATACACTGCTGTCCGGATTAATGGGACACGTGTATAATCATTCTGTTGGACACGTAGATAGAACCCCGCCATAATGTCACGTAATCACCATTGTTTAGTGGGACTGACTGGTCATTTAGTGATATCATTGACGGGATACACGACCGTAGATTGGTGGTGTCTGACCACGTAACATTACTGACAAGGCAAGAGTAGTCAGGATTTTAGGATTTTTTTAGGAAAAACTACACGGCTGGACATGACTGTCGGTAGGCATACCTCTGCTGCTACCAAAAGGACACCGTACAATCAAAAGGTATGCAAATACTCTTGTCACAAAGACAAATCATCACCGATTTGATGGTAGAACAAGCACCTTTATCCCGCACAAAAAAATACAACTTGTGACTAGCGTATCGGTAAAGCATACAGTAAAAGGAATAGCTATCACTAGCGTCAGCCACAGGGGCAACACGTTAACCCTTTGTCAATGTAAAGAGAAAACGAATGGAATTTTTAAAAAGTTAAGCAAAACATAATATACAATGCTGATCAAGAAAGGCAAAGGACAAACTCAATGTCGATTCGAAGAAATAATCTTTTAACACAGGTAAGAGAGACAAGTAAATTAGGTTCGTACCCTTCTTATTTGGCAGACAACATTTTTTCACTCATAAACCGATGTAATTGTGATCAATGAGAGAGAGAGAGAGAGAGAGAGAGAGAGAGAGAGAGAGAGAGAGAGAGAGAGAGAGAGAGAGAGAGAGTTGTGAACCTCGATTCACAAGCATAAAGGTCTGGCTGTAAAAGAATCATCACAACATTTTATACAAGTGGTTCCTGATTTTGTTGATTGTAGTTTAACACCATCATATTGAAAATGCATTGTAGAAGAAATATTGATCCTTAGAGTTATTGCCCGTTTTGACATTATTTAGGAAAGAGAAAAACTAATTGGTAACAACAGTATAGAAGATCGTCTTATTGGCTTCACCCAAATAACAGCAGAGGTCAACATTTCCTTGTCATTATGCGAAAAAACACCGGAACGCTGTAACCAAGGTGAAAAGCAGAGAACTTGTCTGTAATAGGATAACCAAGGTTCTGTTACCAATGTGAAAAGCGGTGTGCTGTCAACAATAGGACAAAGAGGTCACCAGAACGATGTCACCAATACGACAAACATGTCACCAGAGTGATGTCACCAATTTCACAAGGAGAGCGCTAGAGCGCTGTGACCAATATGAACGTCGTTTTATAAATGTACAAAACTAAAACCTTGGAAGACATTAGAGGTTAATTTGAGGTTCAAATACTATAATTATGTCGGAAGGCATTCATTGGGATCAGAGCGTAACATTAACGCGTACGTTCAGTGTCCGATATTTACGGCCATGTTGGGTCGATGACATATAACTGGCTTGTTACAGCGATTGTTTGCCTCTATCACCACCTGTCCTTGTGACAGCCAGCGGGAAACTAGAATGATTGCAGCATCTAGAATTTTAAAGTAATATTCTTATATTGCACAAATGTATGTGTAATATCAGGATGCGGTTTTCATACAATAATATACCAATGCATTAGTATACTTTTGTGTTGATGACGTTGCTTTGGTGACAATCTTTACTGACCTTGGTGGTAAGTGTTGCGCTGTGGAGGATGTCCCCCGGCCAGAACAGCTGTGACGCCACAGTTACAGCAGTCAGACTCATACTAACGTTTCCACCGGCGTCAAACGTCGTATCCAGGTTGTGTTCGTCGTGAAATATGTGTTTGCGGACGGCGTTATGTAACATTGCTAGTATGATGGAAAACCCACCAAAACCAAGCAACATCAGTAAGGCCGACTCGTGTTTCTCCAACACAGGTTTCGGTCTGAAACAAAGAAAGACAGAAATTGAATTTGACGTGACGTTATAGTTATTCCCCAATGGCCCAGGCAGTTTGGCGAAAAGAACCAAACAGTTTTTGGAAAAGTTCACGTTTACAGATTCCTGATATTATTATATTGTAGCAATAATTTTGGTTGGAAGGTTAATCTAAGGGATGTACAAAGCATTTGTCATTATAAACATGTGAACAAACGGTTTTTGACTGATGACTGATTATGACCAGGAATGCAAACTAAGGATGCTTCGATTTACGGTATCCTGATGTTAACCGCAAAATTCTGACAACTAAATTCAACACTTACTTCTTTATCATAATATTTTGCAAATATTCAAATTTAGACATGTTTGATACCAAACGCCAGGGCTATCAGTACTCTTAGAAAACTGAAGCTTATCCATCTGCACTGAATATTTGAAATAAGGCACTGCCATATATTTATTGCGATGTTTCAGCATTGATTGTAACTTTTTTTTAATAGTCGCCAGGTTATGAAATGAATCCACGTGCGATCCCTTTTCAAAACCGGGTTATTATCTAGTCAATTCCATCCAATTATTTGTGCAAAGCTTTAATGGAAAAATACTGACACAACTATGTGTTTAAAGTCTGTGTTTATCTTTGAACTATATCCCACGTAATATGTTAACTTTACAATCAACAGTCGATGTAGCGTTACATATCGTTTTTATGTAACGATATCAATACGACACAGATAAAGTTGATATTCCGTCTTTGCGTATTGCAGAGTTATCTTCTCTTGGGAGCAGGTATTGATTGTTACGTCACTTGTTTGTGAGAGTAACGTCATCAATTTGTGAGAAAACGACGTAATTTTCTCGCACAAACCAAAGACGTAACAATCAATACCTGCTCCAAAGAGAAGATAACTCTTCAATACGCAAAGACGGAATACAGTACGTTGCCGTGCAGATTTTCTGTTATAGTATGAAAAGTAAAACCTAGAAGAGACTAGTTATTAGTATAAAAGCAAACTATAATGACCTGAGAAGCAATTGATAATTTTGATTTTCTTGAGACAGGTTTGTTAATATTTGGATTCGAGGTATCGAGGATTTTACAGGGACACAAATCATAGACGAACATTTATCTTTATATGTTCAGTCACGTGTGCTTGTGCTATGTTGTTTGGACACACACCTGATGTATGCGTAAGCATGCACGAGCTAGACTCTGTGAATACTTTTATTTCAATCAGAGTTATGAATTTTAATTCTTATTTTATAAGAAAATTGTAATATGTTGGTCGGTAAAGATCGCGAAGCCTTTAAGGTCAATAAACTGGTATACTGTCGTAAAGAGTCGCTTGGCAGGGGATATGTTCCCGTTTTCACACTCTCGTCTTATTAATACATATTCATGACGATGCTGCGTGGAGCTAACAGGACATTTATTGTTGAAAATTGATTGATATAAATTTAATGTTTAATTTAAAGTCAGTAGAAAGGATTTAGAAAGGGGTGATAAAGATTTCTGTCTATGCCAATACTTCCCTATTCTTGTTACAGAGGAGAAAACGTATATATATATCAACAAAGATTTAAAGTAATGCTTTGATTTGGAAACTCCAGGTAGACAAAAACTATCGAAGAAGCGCCAAAGAACGAACGAAGTGTTGAAAGATAAATCATGTACGAATAAAAGTGATAACAATTACTCTTTAGAAATTTGAACGTTTAAGAATATTTATGAAAACTTTGAGTTACGACCTCTTTGAATTCCGCATACTACCGTCTTTATGTTACATTTAAATATACTTCTTAAAGGCCTTATTACATGTCCTGGCTGGTTACCACATGAATAAAACATTATAAAATGATCTTTGAAGATGTCGTCGATGTGTTGCCGAATATCAACAGGCTCTCTGAAGTTGACACACTCATAGTAGGCACGGCTAACCGACAATGCAAGTCATGTAGGGTCAATGCCACTGGTGACCTTCCATGGCGTCCGACTTGATCCAAGTCATTGTACCCAAAACGGGACACTTGTGGGAAAATGGCCCAAGAAACTGTCATACAATGCAAAGAAGTACTTTCATGTATGCAGTTTTCACTTGACTTTATGATAATTTGACTGTAAATAAGCTTTATCAATTTCTGTTTTTCATTACATGGACAATTAAGAGACAAGAATAATTACATAAACAGAATTTTCGTAATTAACTTGCCGTACGACGCTATTTATTTGGATATCATTTGAGAAAGTCTATTAAAAAAGAAAATGGTGCTAGTATTTTATGAGATCCCCCCTCGTGTATCCCAAATGTTCAGAGTACAGTAACACATGTTAAAGAGCCTACCAGCCCCTGTTATTATTTCGCGTTCTACGCGCCGGAATACCTACTTAAAATAGAAAATAAAAGTGGACGGTATTTATTTATGAAAAATAAACAAACAGTTTTGTAATTGAGAGTGTGATATAAAGAACAATAATATTTATCTAAACAGTGTCCCGTTTTAGGAACAGTGACGTTAAAGTCCCGCTGCTGAACCTAAGTTCGTCCCCTTTTTGTGCAAAAATTCCAGGAACACTGCTGTCGAGTAAGGTTTGGTCACAACTAGTCGTCGCGTCACCTCACACTATTTGTTCAATGGTCTGACTACACCATATGGCACCCAAGCCTAAAGTGCTACTTCTGCGTATGTTGGGTACGTCCATGTCCTGAAGGGTCGTGTTCACAGACCTTGTAAGGCGTAAGCTTAAGTTATTTCTTTCTTTCTTTCTTTCTTTCTTTTTTTTTTTTTTAACGTCGCATATGCATGTAACATAATAACATTAGCACTGTAGTGCTATTCTTGCGACAAAACATATATAAAATTTAACAAGGATCACAGTACTTATGAATAAATATAAAAACAGGACAACAATTCAANATTCAAGATTCAAGAAGCTTTATTTAACGTCGCATATACATGTAACATAATAACATTAGCACTGTAGTGCTATTCTTGCGACAAAACATATATAAAATTTAACAAGGATCACAGTACTTATGAATAAATATAAAAACAGGACAACAATTCAAATTAGATATGCTAAAATTATACAGTAGAGCATATGATATCACACTTGAATGTCACACAAGTGTTACGAAAGACAAGTTAAGACACTATACTAGTGTAATGTACATATATGCTAATGTAGCAAAGTGTAAAAATTTACAGAATATACACTAATATAGTGTGAATTAAAAAGAGACAATGAAGTCATAAATAGAAACAAGAGCTATAATTATGATATTGTAAAAAAGTAATGATCTTTTAAATAATGGAGCTCAAATCTAAAATAAATATCAATTATATAATAAGTATATTACTGAAGTACATTAAATTAAATAACACATTTATTAATAATTAATACCTGTTGTCCGGCTTCTTATAAAATAGAGGTTTACTTGTGCCTCTTAACAATTGTGCATCGTAAAGATGTGTTTTTCAGTTACACAAAAATCTTTCTACTGATATGAACATTATGTTGATGGATATGAAATTCATAAATGTCATTTAAACGTTCTCCCGTTCCTGACAATTTCTTTGTTCCTTCTTTAAATAACTAGCATGGATATGATATTTCTCCAACTCAACACAAATGATTCAGGGTTTGTATACTCAAAATACAAGGGCTCATACTTTCAACTTTGGTCAGTGTGTCTTGTGAAATAATGTGATTTGTTTTCATTTTGATCATTTGTGCATCCTATGATTCTTCCCTTGCAGTTTTCCTCGTCATGCTTGATCTCTGGCGTGATCATTCAGCTGAATCACTGCTTCAGGTAGGAGACACACTATTTTACGTCTTTCTTTTGCGAATTCAAATGCAAGTTTTTAGAGTGTTTTTGGCTTTTATACGCCACAACTTTATATAAGCTTGCACCCTGTACCTAGGAAAGTCATCAACTGATGGAAGCATCAAGGTCTAAAAGGTTTTTATTTTTTAGCTGTTCAACAACCACTTCACTATACTATTTGTGTCAGTCAAGGGGTACGCAGTAGAGTGGAAGTGTTACTATAGTATTTGTGATTGACAAATGATTCTCGATAGGATTTCTAGAACAGTATCAATAGGTCCACAGACGTTGTAGCTATACATACATATGTATATAATCCCTTGTGGTTAATTGGACAATTACCTCTCATCTGATTTGATTAGGAGGCAATGTACAATGTTTGAGTGATGTTTCCAAAGTTATTTATCCACGGTCTGGTGTACTAATATCTTTATCTCAAACAGATATCCACTCTTTTGTTTAACGGTGGTAAAATATAGAATAAAAACATATTTTTTTCAGATCGTCCGCTAGGCCTTTCTGCCTTCTAGGGCTTCTTCAGGCGGATATATGACAGTATATTTGACATTGAAATAATAAATATGGCATTCTCGTTTTATGTGTATGTTTGTATCATCCTATTGTGTTTTTATTCATTTTTTTCAAGTTAAAGCGCCACAAACATTTTTGATTTTTGTACATCTTAAATAGTGTTTTTGTTTATTTAATACGGAATCATGATATCCGCTGTTAGTCATTGGATACCGAATCAACTGCGACAGGTAAACACCGTATGTGAGGTATGATACCGAACCAACTGCGACAGGTAAACACCATAGGTGAGGTATGCTACCGAACCCACTGCGACAGGTAAACACCATAGGCGAGGTATGATACCGAACCCACTGCGACAGGTAAACACCGTAGGTGAGGTATGATACCGAACCCACTGCGACAGGTAAACACCATAGGTGAGGTATGATACCGAACCAACTGCGACAGGTAAACACCATAGGTGAGGTATGATACCGAATCCACTGCGACCGGTAAACACCGTATGTGAGGTATGATACCGAACCCACTGCGACAGGTAAACACCGTATGTGAGGTATGATACCGAATCCAGTGTGACAGGTAAACACCGTAGGTGAGGTATATATGATACCGAATCCACTGCGACAGGTAAACACCGTAG